AAAAAAAAAAGTAACAGTAGCAGCCAACAAATGGCAGTCAGAGCCAGCTAGTGCGGGCTGGTGTTTCTGGACAAGAGACTTGTGTCCTTGGGAAGCAGAGGGGGCCGAGTGTGGGTGAAGAAGTGTAGAGAGTGGGAAAGCGTATATCACAAATTACCGGAGCTCTGCAGCCCCTCAGGAAGAAGCAAAGATGGCGCATGGAGCGAGGTACTTGAGCTAAAGGAGGGGGAGGTGGGGAGAGGCAAGGAAGAAATAAAAAGAAGCGGAAAAAAGCAACACCAGCAGCCAACAAATGGCACTCAGACAGCCACTTGTTCGGGTGTGTGGAATCCAAGCAGCTGCTGTTTCCTGGTCAAGAGACTGTGGCCATGGGAAGTAGAGGAGGCTGAGTCGGGATGAAGAAGGGTGGGGGGTGGGAAAACGTATATCATCAATTACTGGTTGTTTTGTCTCCCGCTGGAAGCTCCGTGAGGCTGCTTTCTCATACCCCCTGTTTGCTGGTCTCCGATAGGAGTCCGAGATGGCGGATCAGCGCTGCGTTAGCTGGTAGGGGACCTCTGCATGAATCTCTCCTTGCTCTCTGTTCTCTGTCAGTTTTATCACTCCATTTGGTGCTTGGCTGAGTTCTTTATCTCTTCATTTGATGTTTTAGGGTTTCAGGATCATTGTATTCTCCATTGGCTTAGTTTTTCAGATCTTTGCTGTGGAGGGACTGCGTGATGCTTCTGCCTAGAGCACCGTTTTGCCCTCTTAATCTTTGATCCATTTTGAATTAGTTTTTCTGTATGGTTTGAGTTATGGGTCTTGTTTAATGTTCTTATAGATGGTCATCCAGTTTTGCTCACACTATTTGTTAAAAAGGCTGTCTTTTCCCCATTTAATGTACTTTGGTCCTTTGTCAAAGATCAGCTGACCGTAGGTGGATGGATTTACATCTGTGCTCTTGATTCTGTTCCATTGGTCTGTGTGTCTGTAGTTGTACCAGTACCAGGCTGTTTTGACTACCATGGCTGTATAGTAGGTTCTTAGATCAGGTGGTGTGAGGCCTCCTACTTTGTTTTTTTCTTCAGTAATGCTGTGCTTATCTATAGTCTCTTTCCTTTCCATATAAAGTTGGTGATTAGTTTTTCCATCTCATTAAAGAATACTGTTGGTATTTGGATTGGGATTTTGTTATATATGTGATCACTTTGGGTCAAATTAACATTTTCATAATGCTGAGTATTCCTACCCATGAGCATGGTATATTTTCCCATCTATATAGTTCTCTTTCGGTTTCTTTCAATAGTGTTTTGTAGTTTTCTTTATATAGGTCTTTTACACCCGTGGTTAAATTTATTCCTAAGTATTTTATCTTTTTAGGGGCTATTATAAATGGTACTGTTTTCCTGACTTCCTTTTAGAAGTTCTCTTTGTTGGCGTACAGGAATTTAACTGATTTTTGTATGTTGATCTTGGATCCTGCTGCTCTACTGAATCTTTCTATTAGTTCCAGTAGTTTTCTTGTAGAATCTTTGGGGTTCTGTGCATATCATCTGTGAATGGAATAGTTTTATTTCTTCCTTTACAATTTGGATGCCCTTTATTACTTTTTCTTGCCTTACTGCTCTAGCTAGGACTTTCAGCACAATGTTAAATAAGAGTGGTGGTAAAGGGCATCCTTGTCTTCTTCCCTGAAGATAGCAGTTTTTGAAGGTTGACAGACCCGGCCAAGATGTTGTAACCAGGGCGTTGAACAGGTTCGTTATGCTTTGAACCCCTGCTGAGAATTTGCATTTTTAACAAGTTCCCAGGCGAAGCTAATGCTGCTGGTTAGGGACCAGTTCTGAGAACCACTAGTAGAGGGATCCTGTTAAAATGTAGATTCTGATTCAGTATATCTGGGGTGGAAATGCAAATTCTCAACAAGGGATTGAACCAGAACAAACCAGTTCGAAGCCCTGATTGTAACATATGGAGTGTACCTAATTATACACAGGTGCTTCAGAATAAGAGATCAAGTCCTTAAAGTATATATAGAGCTAGATAGTAAGCATCCATGCTAATTACAAGAGATTTAAAATGTTATGAAATTAATTAATGAAAGACACAATGGGATGATCTTCCTTTGATCCCCTTAAATAGCTCATTAATGTCTGACTGTTCTAGATCTTTTCACTCTGAGGGCCATGAGCTTTGATTATCTGTGTAGTTCTGTGCTGGGCTGTGGACATGACCATCAAGTTAGAGTCTCAGAAAGAGCTGTGCTGGTGAATTCTTCATACTTCCTATAGCCCATCCACACACCACCCTGTGCAGCTTGCTGGTCTCCATTAAACCCTTGAGCTTAGAGAAAACATCTTGGTTCTGTTTTTGGATATATTTTTCTCCCCTCTTGCCCGTTTTCTTGAATTGGTCCTCAAATATTAATGTATCAGTTTCATCTGAGGAGATTATTAAAATTACAGATCCCTGGGCCCCACGTCCTGAGCTTTTGGTTCTGTAGGTTTGCGATGGCATTGAGGAATCTGTACTTTAAATGGCTCTAAGCTGAGAAGCACTGTCTGAAACAGCATCCTTAAATGAAGAGATAGAATCTCTCTGGAGTCTGACCTACAAATCCAGGCTTCTTCAAATATTCACCCTCTTGTGTAGGTGATTTCCTTTCTTTATCCATTTCAGCCTTTTCCATGCTTTCACCACTTTATTCCACTCTAGTTTCCTCCTGTTCATCTCCCTTTCCTCTTTATACATTCTACAGGAGTGAATTAGGGATTATAAGAATGTATAATATATAGCCTTATTAGAGACACTTTTTGTAATGTTACCTCCCTATAACTGAGTCGGAATCGACTTGACAGCACATAACAACAACAGCAACATAACCACCTTCAGTGTGAAATCATCTAGAGTTAAAATGCTCTACTACTTTTTGAGTCTATGGATAGTCATCATAGAGACATAGTTCGTGTGACTCACGATGATGTTCCCATTCTTCTCTCTGTGGTGTTGGGATTGGTTATCACTGTCTTATGTCTTTCCATCTCTTACACTAGAGGAGCCATAGACTTTTATTTCTCTTTTGTAGATGTAGAAAATGAAAAGACTATGGTTTTCCTAATTCCAAAAACTTATAGGTGATTGGGTTGAGGGTAGTACTTGGGATTATTGTCCTGGGGGTCCTAGAAAGTCTCCTGGCTCTTCTGGCAATATATTTTTTATTTTCTCTCTCAAAAATACTCCAGGGCACTATTCTCTGTGTAGGTGAAGTTGTTGGTATTATAAACATGCCTTCCCTTCTTAATGGTTTCCCATCTGCATCTAATACCTCATAAGAGGGCCTTGCAGGCAGTTCTTTTATAGGAAATCAAGCTTCACATTTGGATGGAAGCAGGGTGGAATAATTGTATGTAGAGAGACATACACATGTTGTATGTATTACCTTGGGGGAATCACCTTCTCTATACTGATTTCTTGAATTATTAAAATGCTGGATAATTCAAGTAAACACAATTATATGGAAATAACAAGTAAATCAAACCAAACTAGAATATTATTATTTTTAGTTGCATAGTATCTATTAATGATGCAAATTTTTGGCCTATATCATGAGTTGGAGCACTGGTGGTACAGTGGTTAAGCATTCAGCTGCTAACCAAAAAAGTCAACAGTTCAAATCCACCAGCTGCTCCTTGGAAACCCGATGGGGAAGTTCTGCTCTGTCCTATAGGGTCGCTATGAATTGGAATCGACTCAACGGCAATGGGTTTGGTTTTTTGGTTTATACTGATTTCAATATATTTGTCATACTTATGAGAGCAGTGGTGGTTCAGTGGTAGAATTCTCTCCTTCCATGCAGGAGACCTGGGTTTAATTGCTGGCCAATGCACCTCAAGCATAGCTATCACTTGTTTGTCAGTGGAGGCTTGTGTATTTCTGTGATGCTGAACAGGTTTTAGTGGAGCTTCCAGGCTAAGACAGACTGGGAAGAAACGTCTGGTGACCTACTTCTGAAAATCAGCTGATGAAAACCCTGTGGATCCCAATGGTCTGATCCCATTGTGCATAGAGTCACCATGAGTTGGGGGCTGACTTGACAGCAGCTAACATCATAATTATAGTTCCAGAGCTGCACAGGACATTTAGGCATCTTCTCGACTTCTTGCAGGAGCTGAGTGCTGAGTGCTTTATGAGGTTTTCCATCCTTGTTTTGAAAAACGCATGACTTCAGTGTGACCGCAAATTAAAAGGAAAGCCAAAAGTTCTGAGAGAGGACTGAAGGCTGGGATGGAGAGGGGCTGCTTCCTCCTCTGGGTGCCTTCTCTCAGCCTCACTCCCTGCCCCTGACTGGAAGGTTCCATGCTGTTTACTTGTCATCTGAAGTCAGTGGTCATTTCACCTGTGCACGAGATTTGTTTAGCACTGATACACTGAGCATAGAGGGGAAGGCAGCAATAATATAAAAAAGAGGAGTAGGAGGATGGATCTGAGCGCTTGGGAAGGGGAATGTTCCTATAAAACAGGGACACTTGGCAGTAGAGCCAGTGAAAAATGATACCAATTACATAATGCAAAATACCACCCATCAAGCAGAACATTTTAATTCCTCCTATTCCAGTCTATTTGTGACTTTTTATCCAAGACTCAACACTTGTCTGTAAAAATAAAAAATGGAATCGACCCCATCTGTTAGGTGGAAGTGGGCCCTGTGTTGTGGCGGGGGGATGTGGGGAGGGGGAGGTAAGAAAACGCAACAGCATGTCGTTGGAGAATTCCAGGGGTCCTACACGGAGGCACTTCAAGTATAACCGCCGCTTCATTAGTTTTCCCTGTTTGGATTAGTTGTATGAGGAAGTAGGGGTTGGGAAACTAATTTTACTGAGACCTTTAAAGTTGTATTTAACTTTCCTTTAAGAAGTTCTGTCTTGATGGATCACCCATACTATCCTACTTAAAACAAATGCAAAACAAAACAACACAACCAAGAGAAAAACAAACAAAAAAAACTATCTGTTTTCCAGGCCAACTTTTCCTTTCACTTCTGCCAAAGATGGTCGAGGGCTCACAGCTGGTTTCCTGAAAGAGTGCCACAAGATGGCGACAGCGTCACGGTGGAGAGTGGCCAGTTGCTACTGCTGGACACCAACACAAGCATCCTCAACTTCCTGCACGTTAAAGGTCTGTGGAGTCTACAGATTGCTGGCATTATATATGCAATTCTACCACGCTTGGGGGCGGGGGCGGGGGCGGGGGGAGCTTTTTGGTTAAGTTCCAGAACTTGGTTGAACAATTTATTTGTAGATCAAATTGAGATCTTACTATGAAAAGGAAGACGTGGTCAGAGGGTTCAAAGTGAAAGCTGTTTCTTTTGACTCTTATAAGCACAGAGCTTGATTATTTTAATTTTTTTCAAAACAAGAAGGTTAACAGCCTTCTCAAAGAATATGCTTCTTTATTCTTTATTCAAGCACTTTGTAGTCATGCTTATCCAGGGCAGCTCCCACAATATACCAAAATGCCCTGAAATCGGTTAATGCTGCTGCCTTTGAAATTCCCTGCCAAGAAAGCAATGTCTTCCTGTTTTTACCCTGTTGTGGTTTTGACTTTTTGGTCCCATGGAAAGTCATATAAACAGGCTTTCTTATTGCAAAATCGGTCACATAGCTCTAGGGTCTAGGAAGTTGGAAGAGACTGAGAATTCAAATTTCAGCTTTTCCACCATATCACCAAATGACTAAGTCAGTTATTTCACCTCTTTGTTCATTTGTCTCCTTATCTGTTAAATTAGAATAAAAACTAGTCTACTTCAATGGCGGAAGATAAGGAATGATTATCAAAGTGTCTGTCTTCATGGGCAAATGAAAATTGCTTAGGAAATGTGATTAGTTGTGGCTACCTATAAAACTCTGCACTAAAACACTGTTCTTTACTATAAATATATTTAATACTTACACAAGCATTTGTTCTTGTGGAAGTGAAAGCACAACTACATGAAGGCAAAAGAAAATATTTTTTTTCTGATTAGGCATTTTTTAAAAAAATTTTTTATTGTTGTGCTTTAAGTGGAAGTTTACAATTTAAGTTAGTCTCTCATACAAACGTTTATACATACATAGTTATGTGACCCTAGTTGCTCTCCCTATACTGTGACAGCACACTCTTCCTTTCCACTCTGGATTTCCCGTGTCCATTCAACCAGCTCCTGACCCTCTCTGCCTTCTCATCTTGCCTCCGGATGAGAGCTGCTCATTTAATCTCATGTATCTACTTGAGCTAAGAAGTACACTCTTCACAAGTATCATTTTATGTCCCATAGTCCAGTCTAGTCTTTGTCTGAAGAGTTGGTCTCGGGAATGGTTTTAGTTTTGGGCTAACAGAGAGTCTGGGGCCCACGTCTTCGGGGGTTGATTAGGTGTTTTGTCCATCTATATTCTGGAAGCTGTGTTGTTCTCCAGTATCAAGGAGAAGTTTCATGCTAAATCAGTTAATTAATGCCCTTTGAGGGGAAAAACTGGTACGTCAGCTCAGCCTTTGCCCTGTGTTTGTGATGTGTATGTGTGTGCTTGCATGTATGTGTTTACATGTGTATGTATGTGTGCATGTGTGTTCGCGTGTATATGTGTGTGTAGCCAGTGGCTATGAGGAATGTTGCCTTATTGACACCCATAAGCTACCTAACATAACAATGACAAGGGAAAAGCATAGACTTAAAGCCTTGGGTTAGAGAAAAGTTGCTCATTGCAGGCCTTTAACTAAGGCTGTACCTACAAGAGTCAAATTCTGCTGGAGGATGGCATGTCCTTCAGTAGTTTAGGGTCTTGCCCTTGTATTTATGCAACTATTTGGAAGACGTTTCCCAGGTAAAAATTGCCCAGCTGAATTTTGGGATGTACTGTTAGTTCCAGGTAAATGTTCAATCAAGGAACGATGTTGAGAGGGCCAGAAACCAAAGATGGAAAAGAGGGATCAGAGAGAGAGAAAAGGGTAGGAGAAAGATTGGGGTATGTGTACAACATACACGTGGCTTCTCATTCTTACAGAAATCAAGATCTTAGCAACCCAAACACTTGCCCAAACCTGTCACCTCCCAATAGTGTTTTTCTTGAATATTCCTGGTTTAGGCAATATTTTATCCTTATATTATTTAGGATATGAGAGTAAAATATTCTTACCCTGTGGAGGGGAAAAATGAATTAAATGAAGAGTCCCCTTCCTCCCTTGGGGAGTGGGACAGTTGGTAGGACTGTGAGACTAAGTAATGGACACCAGTTTCTGTACAAATAGACTACAGGAGGTGTTGGCAGGCAGCAGGGTTGCCGAGAGTGAAACGCTGAGATTTTTGTCATGGAGATATGGTTCATGGCTTCTAGAAAGAATGAGAACCAGGAAAGAATACAGATCAAATTTCAATAGATGATTTGTGAGTGCTTATTAAAGTGGCCTAGGAACTCTTCGTGTAAAGTATAAGAAAAAAAAAGGAATAATATTTTAATGGCAGTAATGTACAATATCACTGAAGAAAAATAATTAGAGGACAAATATAAGACAGTATAATTTCTAGTTCTAAAATAAGCATTGCAGGTGGTAAAGGCAGAATGTAGACTGGAGTGATTAGGACATCGAGGATGGGAGATTAGAGTTGAATAATGGAGAGCAGGCAAAGAGCATATTATTTCTGTCTAAGATGTGTTTTTATCACATAGATATCACTATACACACAAGTCAAAATTTGTGGAAATTTCCCATCTCAGTTAATGGAACTGCATGTATTCTGCAGCTCATGCAATAAGTGTGACAGCATCCTAAACCTTTATCTTTTTCTAATAATTCACGCCAAATCAGTGAGTTCTGGTGGCTGGATCTTCAACATGTGTTTCATATAGCAACACTTCCATTGGTGACCAACCTTGCTCTAACCACCATAATTTTTTGTCCAGACCATTTCAAATTGCTTCTTCATTGGTTTCTATGTTTCCAATTCTTTATCTTCATTAATAGCACAATCCCAGTTTTATTTGGAGCGCAGTATATGCAGCTAAAGAGCTGTATTTCTTTGCCTCCTTTGTAGCTACACATAGCCTTGTAGCAAGAGCTAGCCAATCAAATATAAGAGGAAGTATGGGACATCTTGGAGCTTTCCTACAGTAGAGCTGACCTAGGAGGAAGTATTCCTTCTTTGTTCTTCTTTTTTTTTCCTTCCTGGAATATAAATACAGTATTTGCATTGTCAGCCACCATCTTAGACCATGAGGTGACTCATTAAGAATGGGAAAGCAGAAAAATAAAAGAAACCCGGGGCCCTGCTGACCATGGAGTTGTCAGACCAGCTTTGGACTGACCAACTCTGAAGCTACTTTTTGTGATAGAAAAATAAACCTTCCTGTGTTTAAGTCACAGGTGTTTGGCTTTCGAATTGTATGCTAAAATAAACCCCAAACAGTTTATCATCCACATCCTTTAAAAATATGTCAGAACTTACTACTTTTATCCTGACACCCTCCTAGTGGCCTCTCATCTTACTAAGAATAAAATCTAAAGTCCTTGTTGTCAGGTGCCTGGAGTTGTTTCCGGCTCATAGCGACCCTTTGTGCAATAGAACAAAACACTGCCCAGTCCTGAACCATCGCCACAATCATTGCTAAGTTTGAGCCTTTCACTGCGGCTGCTATGTCAGTCCATCTCATCAAGGATCTTCCTTTCGTTCACTGACTCTCTATCTTACCAAGTATGATGTCTTTCCTTCTCCAGGGACTGGTCCTTCCTGATAACACGTCCAGAGTATGTGAGACAAGTCTCCCCATTCTCACTTCCAAGGAGCACTATGGCTGTATTTCTTTCAGGACAGACTTGTTCATTCTTCTGTCAGTCCATGGTATATTCAATATTGTTTGCCAGCACCGCAATTTAAAGGCCTCAATTCTTCTTCTGTCTTCCTTACTGATTGTCCAGCTTTCGCTTGCATATGAAGCGATTGAAAATATCATGGCTTGGGTCAGGCACACTTTTGTCCTCGAACTGCCATCTTTGCTTTTTTAACACTTTAAAGATTTGCCCAATGGAATACATCCTTTGATTTCTTGACTGCTCCTTCCATGGACATTGACTGTGGATCCAAGTAAAATGAAATCCTTGATAACTTTAATCTTTTCTCCATTTATTAGGGTGTTGCTGATTGGTCCATTTGTGAGGATGTTTGTTTTCTTTATATTGAGGTGTAATCCATACTGAAGGCTGTGGTCTTTGATCTTCATCAGTAAGTGCTTCAAGTCCTCTTCACTTTCAGCAAGCAAGTTTGTCTCATCTGCATATAACGGTTGTTAATGAGTCTTCCACCAATCCTGATGCCACATTCTTCTTCATATAGTCCAGTTTCTGCGATTATTTGCTCAACATACAGATTGAATAAGTATGGTGAAAGGAAACAACCCTAACACACACCTTTCCTAATTTTAAACCAAGCAGTGTTACCTTGTTCTGTTTGAATGAATGCCTCTTGGTCCATGTACAAGTTCTGTATGAGCACAATTAAGGGTTCTGGAATTCTCATTCTTTGCGGTGTTGTCCATAATTTGTTGTGATCCACACAGTCTGATGCCTTAGTATAGTCAATAAGACACAGGTAAACATCTTTCTGGTATTCTCTGCTTTCAGCCAAGATCCATCTGACATCAGCAGTGATATCCCTGGTTCCACATCCTCTCCTGAATCCAGCTTGAATTTCTGGCAGTTCCCTGTTGATGTACTGCTGCAACCATTTTTGGATCATCTTCAGCAAAATTTAACTTGTGTATGTTATTAATGATATTGTTCAGTAATTTCCACATTCTATTGGATTGCCTTTCTTTGGAATGGGCACAAAAATGGGTCTGTTGCAGTTGGTTGGACAGGTAGCTGTCTTCCAAATTTCTTGGCATAGATGAGTGAGCACCTCCAGTGCTGCATCCATTTGTTGTATCATTTCAGTTGTTATTCTGTCAGTTCCCGGAGCCCTGTCTTTCGCCAGTGCCTTCAGTGCAGCTTGGACTTCTTCCTTTAATACCGTCAGTTCTTGATTATATGCTATCCCCTGAAATGGTTGAACATCGACCAATTCTTTTTGGTACGATGACTGAGTATTCCTTCCATCTTCTTTGGATGCTTCCTGTGTTGTTCAATATTTGGCTCATAGAATCCTTCAA